AGAAGCTACCACAGGTTTTTGCCGTTTAAATAAATCTTGAAGTTTTAAAGACATGAGGATTTTAGACAGGGAAGCTAGAAACAGGTTTTACAACAGAATTGTACTGCATCTTCCCTGCAGAAATTTAATGGGAGGTAAGTATTGCACTTGTTTTGCTTGTGTCACTTTTAACATAAGTGAAGAATTATTCAAACAGTTTGATGAATGGCGTAAAATACATATTTTAACATTTAATTTTGGGCATTGTCAGAAGCAGTCTCTATTATCTGTGTACTTTGCAGTATGAATTATTTACTTTTTAAGAGGATTGAATTGTCTGTAATTCATTATATCTTAAAGCCAGTGAGTTCAGAAAAGACATAATTTGAGAGCTTTGGTTTTTTGAAGGCTAATTCTAGGTGCTTGTAGGGGATCTTTGTTTTTGTAAAATGGTGAGTCAGCTGTTGCTTGAAAAACAGTCCTATTTCACTGTGTCAGCTTGGGCACTTGGAATTTTCACTTCCATGTATCCTGACTGTATTTTCTTTGCAATGCTAATTTATCATGTAGCTTGGCTCATTACATTTGTAAAATACTTCCATCTTTTTTTAGAAGATTCCATTTTCTAGGGAACTAGATGCTATTGTGTGTGTGTGTGAGAGAGAGAGAGAGAGAGAAAGAATGTTTGTTCTTGTTTTAGAAATTCAAGAAACAAAGCAATACATGTGATTATTGGTATATACCTGACTATTGGTGTATGAATTTCTATACTCAAGGAGTATTTGCTGGGTTTTAGTTTTTTAATGATGGTGACCTGAACAGTTGCATGCACAGCTGAGATGAAGATGCTTTTTTGCAGTGAGTAGAATAAGTAGGGTAGCTATCTGGCCAACAGTTCAATCTTGATTAGCAATTGGAGTGAAAACAAAGTAGTGCCCATTAAGAATGTTGATTTAGATGAGTTGTGGTCTTATCGGTAAGGTCTCCTATAGTCTCTTATTTATTTGCCTATAGTATTGTTTCAGTAGTAACCAGGGGCTTTGTTTCAAGGTGCTCATGATGTGTTTTCCAGATGTAATAATTTCCAGTGTGAGTGAAACAGTTGAAAGGTTGGGATTGAGAGTTACTTTTGACTCAGCCTACTTAGCTTGTTTGTTCTGCATTCACTCTTCAATTCTTTATTCTTCAGGTATTCTTCAATGCTTGGCAAAAAGTAATGAAGTAGATAAAGTATTTCGTCCTTACTTGTGATACGAGTGATTTTCCTTTCTGCCTGAGAGTATCCCCATTCACTTACAGTGGAGTTTAACAGCTTTCCACATCTCTTGTCAAAACAATTTTCATTAGGTTTGTTTGGTTGGTTAGTTGATTTTAATTCTTTATTTTGTAATTTTGGTGGTTTTGTTGTTGTTTTTTGTAAAGGACTCTATTTCTTCTCCTTTGATTCAGTACGTGTATAGCTTTCTACATGATTCTTTGGGATATGTTTAATATTTTACATTTGTATAAACGGAAAGATTTTGCAAATATGTGAATATGAGTTGTCCTGTCTGAGATCTAGAACAGTAAATACTCATTAGTTTATGGGTTTTGGTAGAGGAAGCTGCTTACAACACTAAGCTTAATTCCATCTGAAGTCTTCCATGCGTTTAATATAATTCACAACTATCTTCTACATGGAAGTGATTATTTTAATAATTGTTTTATAGGAGAAATTTTTCCATCCCACACTTTCACTGAGTGATCTGAACTTCAGTGGGATTTGATAATGTGTTATTTGTAAAATTTTTGTAAGAAAGATGAAAGACCAGTAATCTTGTGTACATACATTGATAGTTGAAAGGAAGATTTTCTGCCTCTCTTCTCTTTGATATTTTTGGTATAGCACTAATTTCATAGGTGTTTATCTTTTGAACGTAGAGTGATTCCTACTATACCACACTTGATTTTAGCCAAATGCCTGAGAAGCGATCCTTTGTTAGTTGTTATACTTTCAGTGCTTTTACAGAACTCCTATTAACATCTTGACCTTGTCATTGAAATTTATTTTCTTCTGATGTAGCCTATGTAATGACAATATTCCTGAAGCTGTCCCTTCATCCATTCTGTACATTTGCACATGAAATTAGCTGTTATAATTTTGCTTTGTTGTTGCTAAAATAAGTATAGAAGACTTTAAAAAGAGTAATGTCTCCAACTTTTTAATTGATGGAAAATAGGAAGTGTGTTTCAGGCTTATACTACAATTAATGACAAGTCAGATTTTGATGAAATGTTATTGGAGATTTCTATGAGTTTTACAGAAATTAAACTATTTAATTTAGATCCTTGTGTTAGTCATCCTAAAAGTAATTTAAAAATCATATAGAAAAGAGTCTTTAATAATTGTGTTGCTATTTGCTACATCAGTATTGTTTTATACACTGTGGAGCCTTAATCAGGGCAATTGGGATGTAAAAGATGGTCCTTTACATCTGTACTAGATGTCTTGATTCCTATGTTTCGCTTTTGAGCTCTGGGGAAAGGTAGGCAGTTGTTTATCGTAGTAACTTCTTTGCATCTCACTACTGGCATGAGCATCTGTGAGAGTAAAGATGAAAGTGTTTTATTTTCTTTATGAGGACTTTATCTTTAAAAATTCTTCCAGTAGCAATTGGAAAGTTACCTCCTCCACTTACAGATGATTTTGCATCTCATTTTGCATCTTCCTTCCTTCCCTCCTCTCCCCCCTCGTTCCCAAATAACAGGAATAATAAGATAGTATTTAATTGCAGACTGCCTTCACAGGCTTCTCTGGTTTCACACCATACTTGGTATGATACTGAGAGAGATTTAATGTGTTCTGTTAGAGGCAACAGCTCAGTTTTGTAGCAGCTTCTTGAGGTGACTGCATGCCAAAAACGGATCATGCTTTGGCTAGACTGTTCCGAGTTAGGGTTTCATTAGCATCTAAACCGTTACCCATTTTTTCCAAGTTGTTTTAGCAAAAATTTTATATGATTTTGTCACCACAAGACAAATATTTTCTCTGGGTCAATTTTCCATTAAAACATTTACTACTTGTCCTTAGCAGTTTCTTCACAGATATTTTGCACATTTTGCAGTGTTTCAAACTGTGCTTCTCTTGTGTGTCCTTTAAGTATTTCCATTTTCATTTTGTTTATGGCCAGATGATCCACTAGTTGTATCTAACAGTGTTGTCTTATTGTAGCTTTTGTGATTCATTTCATTATGCTAAATGTTTTACTTTTTTTCAGGCCTGTTAAAGTAATCTTCAGATTCTTTTCATGTTAAGTGGCTGAAAACTGTATCCGTCATTATTCATGTTTTCCCTTCTGTACACCTTTCTCTTTGGTGGAGAACTAATGTTATGTCCTCAAATAAATGTTTACTTCTTAATTCCAACTGAAGTATTATTTGATATTTATACACTTTATCATCTGGCACTAGCAATGTATTTTATTCCATATAACAAGCTGAAAAGATAAAACACATCAGGTGACCACCATTTATGAGACTTTTTAAAGACAAATTTTTTTCCATCATTGGAATAATTATCTTTGTTTTTTTCTCCCTGGATATATCTTGTTTTAAAGATCACTTTCTTTAATATCTTGACTTCAGTTGGCTAGTATGTTTCAGGAGAAGATATTCAGGAAAACATGAACATTTCCATCATTAATTTCCATGTGGTTCTTTAATAGCAAAAATTAATCTCTTAATACAAAAATACATTATGACCTTCTTCAGTTTCATTGCTAATGAGGCACACTTAAGTCCTGGAGTGGGAAAGCAGCATTTAAAGAAAAACTGTTACACTCTTAGATTTGTGTGATTTGTGGTGGTTTAATAGAGATGCTGTGTGTGCCTGAAAGAGGGTGGCTTCTTCAAACAGGAAGACTCCATTTGGAAGGAGCAGTTTGAAGGGCAAGTTTAGGAGTGAATGTGCATCCTGCATGAGAGTAAAGCTGAAGTGGTTTATAAGTCAGCAACTTGGGGTAGGAAGAAATTATTTTTGTATGCTTTTCCAGCAATAAATACATGTTAAGTAGTTTATGCTAGTATCACACTTTGATTCTGCATATTTTAATCTGGCAAAAATAAGACCACCAGTTCATGCTACAGAGGGAGAAAAACGGCTTTCTGTCATTTTTTTAAAAATCAATTTAATAATTTACCATATAATTAGAGCCTATTGAATGATTCAGCTATTCACTTTCATAAGCAACAAGATGTGAGAAGTTCACATATCAGAAGTACCTGATATGTATAAGAAATTACTGATGGCAATTGAGTAGTAGAGGTTTGGTAAGTTCTATGAGTTGGATACCATGGCTCTGAAAATTAATAGAGAAAAGGAATGCATTAATTTTACTTTGAATTAAACAGTAGGGTTTTTATTCAAAACTTTTAATTGAAACCATCTGTTTCTAAAACATGAGCTTTAAGATAAGTTTTTGAATTTGAGCTAGAAATTACTGGGAGAGATTCTATGGCTTATCTCAAGTAGGAATGAAGGCTAAATGAACAATGGTTTTCTGTGATTTAAAAATAATTAAGTTTTTTTAATGCAGTAATCAAGTGGGCAGTATTTTGTGTTTAAGGCAGTATTGTTTCATCTGATGGGATAACGTGCAGGCATGAATCTCATGAACATGTGTAAGGTACTAGCCTTTATGTCTAGTTGGTGGTGCTCAATTGTTTCTGTAAGGGTGCTTTTAAAAAAGTATGTTTTTAAGTTAGTAAAAAAAGTAAAATCTTACTGTCTCCAAACACAGATAGAGTTACAGGTGGCTTTACATGGTGAGTGTGGCAGGTCAGCCACTTTACAGGAACATAAGTCACATTTGTGATAAGTATGTTGTTTTCCAAATAAATATAAAATGCTTATTCAGTAAATAGAGCAGATGAATTCCATGACTTTTTAATTGTTCAAGTGGATTGTAGAAGCAAATATATTATTTAAATGCTTTGTTTCAGGTATTAAGCCTTAAAAGAGGTCCTTGTTTTCAAGAAGTACAATGGACTACATGAAAAATGTTGGTAACAACTCTTGCAATGATGGACTTCTACTTAGAATGGGCCTCAATGATAACAA